GCTGCACAAGGCGCGTCATGAGCTTCCGTCGCTGTTTGGGGATCGCAAGCCCGCATCGGTAGGTGCGGCGGCAAAGACAGCGGCAGCATACAGCGCGGCGATATCAGCACATCTGGCGTCAACAGCAGCAACAGCGCCGGCCTCGCTGCTGGGCAGCATCGATGGCTCAGGCGCACGGCCAGACATGGCCAAGTATGTTCCTGGGACCCGGGTCACTTGCCAGCAGGCAATGGTGGAGTCGACTCGCGACCATGTCTTGCAGACAGCCCACCAGCTGTACTCAACCAACGCCCGCGACCCAACGCTCATCGAGATGCTTCTGTGCCTGCATCGCCTGCACCCGCGCCATCTGCCAACGCTGCTGCTGCTGGCCTGTGCGTACTTTAGCAGCAGCAAGCCCGAAAAGTCTCTCGAGTATAACGAGCTCATTCTCAAAATTGACCCCAACTATGTCGAGGCGATGTCGAACATCGGGACCACATTGCGTAGCATGGGCAAGTCGTCGGAGGCCGAGTCATGGTGGTGGCAGGCAGTTAAGCTGCGGCCGGGGTACTGGGACGCTGTGGAAAACCTCATGGGCGTTCTGTGCAATCCCGCGCAGCAGCAGACAGCCACGCCAAAGAGCCCCTCGAGCAAGGCAGACGGCGCTCCTGCCACGGGTCCCCGCTACCGCGAAGCACTGCAGCTGTGCGAGTTTGTTGACAGCAGTCTGCACATCAGGGACGACATCTCCAAGGACGGGGCTGGCAAGGTGGCAAAGTACCAGGTGCAGGACAAGCAGCTGTCGCGTCTGCAGTCGCTGCTGTACTCGGAAGGCAACCTGCGGTTTGCTCTGGGCGATGTTGCCGGTGCCAGGCGCGAGTACGAGAAGGCAATGGAGGCGATCCTGGGCGGCTACAAGCTGGACGAGATTGTTGTGCGCATCGCGTACATTGGCTCGCAGGAGAGTGTCAACCAGATGTTCCACAAGCAGCTGAACAACCAGGCGCCGCCGTCGCACAACCTGAACATCAACAACCTGCCACTGACGCTCCTGGCGCCGCAGAACGCCATCCGCATGCTGCAGATTCTGTTCCCAGAGACCAACGGTGTGCTGCCTGGCCTGGTCGCCCTGGCTGGTAAGGCTGCAGTTCAGCAGGCAACGGGTAACCATGCCGCATCGACTCAGCTGCAGCAGGCGAACCAGGTCGCGTCGAACCTGCTGCTGACGCTGGCCAAGCTGCACCAGGATCACGCCGTGGTTGCACAGCCGCTGTCGATTGTGCTGCCCCTCTACTACATGTCTCTGTCGCTGGTGCCATCCCCATCGACATGCAACAACCTGGGCATCATCTTGTCGGCGATCCCTTCCCCGTCGACGCCGACAATGGTGCCGTCTGTGCAGGGCGGGCAGCAGCCAACGCAGGCGCCAATGGGCTCGGCCCTGGCCATGCAGTACTACACCCACGGGCTGTCCCTGGACCAGCGGCACCCTCACCTGTACACCAACCTGGGCTCGCTTCTCAAGGACCTCGGGTACCTGGCCGAGGCGGTCAAAATGTACGAGAAGGCGGTCGAGTGCAACGCTACGTTCGATGTTGCGTTGGCCAACCTGGGCAATGCCATCAAGGACATGGGCCGCGTGCAGGACTCGATTCCGTGGTACCTGCGCGCTGTTGAAGCCAGCCCCAACTTTGTTGAGGCGGTATGCGGACTCGCCAACGCTATGGCGGGCGTGTGCGACTGGCACGCGCGTGACGGAATCTACACCGAGATTGCCATCCGCTGGCGTGCAGTTGCGATGGTCGGCGAGGAGCAGGCGGTCAAGATCTTCGGCGTCATGGGGCGTGGCAAACGGCCGACAGCCAAAGCGTACAGGCGAAAGCTGTTCAGGCGCATCAACTACGTGCATGCGCAGAGCCCGAAGCAGACGCATGGCGTGGACAAGCGGCGCGGGTGGATGGACCGCGTCGTGGAGATTGTCGACCAGCAACTCAGCGACGGCAGCACATGGGGCCATGGTGTGCTGCTGATGCAGCCGGCTGCTACTGGCGCTAGCGATGGGGGTGGCCTCGTGCGCCCGACCAGCGAGCTGGTGAGTTTCTTGGAGGGCGTCTGCCGACTCGTTCCCCGTGTCTCAACGGCGCCAGCCACTGGCCTGGCGGTGTTTTTGCACGACGCGCTTGATCTTGTGCGGCTTATTGCTGGGGTCCACGATGCCGGCGAGGTGCCCGGCGACAAGATGCGCAGCTGGAAGCACTTCATGGCACTGATCCGCAATGAGGGGGGCTGGGCGCTGAGGATTGTCGAGCGCGCAGCAGTTCTGATCCAGAGGCAGTGGTACTGGGATGCGCAGCAAGGCAGCCAGCATGCGCTCGAGGCACTGCGCAATCCGCAGGCAAGCGCGTATAAGCGGCCACGGCTCCCGGCAGGTCTCGGAGCGCCGCTGGTTCCGACGGTGCTGCCATTCCACACCTTCACGTATCCGCTTGATGCCCGCGAGGTGCGACTGATTTCGCACCGCAACGCGCTTCGCCTGTCGTTTACGACGCTGGGCGGCGGCGCGCCTTGGCTGCCGGGCCATGTGTATCCGCCGCCGCCGCCGCCTGACCCCCAGATCAACATTGGCTATGTGTCGTCGGACTTCAACAACCACCCTCTGTCGCATCTGATGCAGTCGGTCTTTGGAATGCACGACAGACAGCGGTTCCGCGTGTTCTGTTATGCAACGACGCCGCCCGATGGCACCGTGCATCGGCAGAAGATCGAGCAGGAGGCCGACGTGTTTGTGAACTGCGCGGCGTGGTCAACGCAGCGCATTGTTGACCAGATCGCAAGCGACAAGATTCACATCCTTGTCAATCTGAACGGATACACCAAGGGGGCGCGCAACGAGATCTTTGCTGCTCGGCCAGCGCCGGTTCTTGTTGCGTTCATGGGCTTTGCCGGAACCCTGGGGGCTGGGTGGTGCGACTATGTGGTCACGGATCCGATTGTGTGCCCACCGTGGACTGTGCGGTGCGAGGTGCGTGCCGAGCGGGAGCGCAGAGCCCTTGCCGCTGCTGGGGGTAAGAGCAGGATGCTGTCGAGCAGGCCGGCAAGGCAGCCCGAGATGCAGGAGAAAGGCCGCGAGCACTACAGCTGGAGCCAGCGCAATGGCTCGCGTAGTGGCGACAATGGCGATGGCGACGACACTGACGACATCACCAGCCAGGACCGTGCCAGGCGCGTGCATGAGTGGATGGGTGATGTGCGCTGGGACTTTGGCGAGATCGACCCCGAAGAGGTTGACGAGACGGATCTGCAGGGTGCCTGCGTGAATGTTTCTGCTGAGCACAATCAGGTCAGCTCTGCGGGGGCTGGTGGGGCGGCTGGCGCGCAGTTCAACTACGTCGATACCGTGGCCGACGAGCAGCTCGACGAGGCCGGCGCGGACAACTGGGTATACACGGAGAAGATGATATACATGCCGCACACATACTTTGTCAACGACCACCGGCAAGGATTCCGTGAGGACGAGGAGCTGCGTGAGCTGCAAACGCCCGAGGCTCTGTGGATGGCCGAGCAGGATGCGCGGTACCGGATGCGCAGCGAGCTGTTTCCGGCGCTGGGCGACGACGTGTTTATCTTTGCCAACTTCAACCAGCTCTACAAGATCGACCCGACGCTGTTCCGCATGTGGCTGCGGATCCTGGAGCGGGCGCCAAAGTCGATTCTATGGCTGCTGCGCTTTCCGGCAGCAGGCGAGCAGCACCTGCACCGCGTGGCAGTCGAGTGGGCGGGCGAGGAGGTTGCGCGGCGGGTCGTCTTCACCGATGTTGCACCCAAGCACATGCACATCAAACGCGGGCGCGTGGCCGATGCGTTCCTGGACACGCCCGAGTGCAATGCCCACACCACGGCTGTCGACATTCTGTGGAGCGGCACGCCGGTGCTAACGTGGCCGCGACACGAGCACAAGCTGTGCTCCCGCGTAGCAGCGTCTGTCGCCTGTGCCACCGGCCATGGCCAGCACATGGTGGTCCACAGCGCCGACGAGTACGTGGACCGGGCTGTCGAGTGGGCGACGCGGGCCTCGCACGAGTACACCTATGACCGGCCGAGACACTACGATCCGAAGGCCATCCTGAAGCCAGACCCGCAGACTGGGTACGTCAAGCACCTGCTGTGCCGCGGACCAGCCATGGACCTGCGCTACCAGCTGTTTATGACGCGCGATGCGTCGCGCCTGTTTGATACGCTGCGGTGGACGCGCAACCTGGAGCGCGGCCTGGAGGAGGCGTGGCGGCGCTGGGTCACTGGTGAGGACGAGGTAGGCGAGCCTGCCTATACCGGCGAGAGCAACGGCACTGAGTCTGGTATGGAGCATTCGATGATATCCATGGACATTGACGACCAGCACCAGCACCAGCACCACCAACACATGCTTTCCGACCGCAAGGACGCGGCTGTACTGTGCAAGTCTGACCAGCGCAAACTGCGGTGGGCCAAGCGCATCGAGCGCCAGATTGAAGCGGCGTCAGCGGGCGGGCAGCCCAGCGCCGTGTACTCGCCCCGCGGGCGCAGCATCTGGGTGCTCGACGAGGACGACGCCATGCCATCGCATTCGTGGCTGCACAGGATGATGACATGGTGAGCGAGTCCGCTCCATTATAGCCCACCCCCAGTCCCTTTTTCGTGCCTTTCTTTCAAACTGAGATGCCTAGCCCTTTTGCGCATTGCCGGTGCCACTGCACTGGGCACGGCTGTTCTGTGGGCTGTTCCAATGGCGGAGCAGACAGGTGTGCCTGTGGTGCCACGGCGCGTGTCTGGGTCTCCGCGTAAGCACATGGCAAGTCGGTTTCTATTTTAGGCTCGTCGCCGGCGAGCATGGGGGGCGTGCCAAAAGAGCTCGCCAAGAGTCCTCCAAGAATTCAGTTGCAATGGATCCGCCATCATGGGTCGCCCTGTCTTAGGAAGGCACTGCGATGTTTCACGGATTCATTAAGACCAGGCCATGGTGTGCATTGTTAGCTAATAGACGCGAATCACGTGTCCGAACTCGGAACAGGGATCAGTCTGCGCCAGTAGGGCAGCCACCTCCCTTCCCTCTGCGACTGCCTTCTCCCTCCTGCCTTGCACTAGCGTCGACATTTTTTAAACTACACGCCATTTTCCGCTATTAGTCTCTTTTACGACCTGCGTTTTTCAGTACTCTCTTTGCGAAACATACACACGCTGCTATTGCCCGGAAGAAGAGCAGGCAAATACACTTGGCGGCTTTTTTGTGCGACATTTCCTTCTGCTACCTTCTCATTTCGTGGCAGCCGACGCAGGGAGAACGCGTTATTGGCATACAGAGCTCGGTGCAGCCCGCCAGAGGGACACTGAAACGGGTAAGTCCATCGAAAAACGCGCCTGCCCTGGATCGTGCACCGCATGGCGGATGGAGGAGGCGACGGAAGGGGCAGACCGGAGCTGTCTGGCAGCCAGCTTGGCGGCACCTGAACCTGGGGTGGGCGTGTCTCTCCGCCCATGCGGGCCGAATCCCACGCGTGGCAGGCGGGCATTCCTGCTTGGCCCGATATTTTCCGCCAAAATAGCCTTTGGCCGGCTGCACGTTTTGTTTCAAGGGCAGACGCTGTTTGTGTACACAGGGATTTCGCTATTGCCCTGTTGTTTTTGTGCCAGCCCATCTCGCCCTCTCCTCCCCGGACCGTCTGATTGATGGTCTCCCTAAAAAGGAGCATTACGTCGCTTTTTCTTCGTTTCAGCAAAACACGGTGGCCCGCGGTCGGGATTTGCAAGCTTCTTGCTTTCAGCAATGTGCCTTTCCTGCTAGGGCAATATGCGTGGTTGATGTATGTGCGCGACTGGGCGTGGGTGGGGTTTTTTGTCTTTTGGAGAGCAATGCGGCTGTCTGGATCGGCCCGCGTTCTGGGCGAAAGAGAGTGCGTTTTCTTACCGGCCCATGCCGACGTTTATTATGAAAAATCCTGCCTGCGCGCTGTTTTTTTTGGCTGCGAGCAGTGACGCCCAGCTTTCTGATGCCGATTTTTCTGCTCTTGTTGTGATTTCGAGGCACATACGACAGGATCGGCGTGCGTCGTGCATTGGGTGGGGGAGGAGAGCCCAGCTGCTCGCTTTGCAGAAGGAAAACAACAAACCACTCGCATCTTGGTTCTGCGTCCTTGCACCTTTTTCCCACTCTTGTATTATTTGTATATCTCGCACAGCGCTCTTGTCTCCCTCCCTTCCATCCCACACCTCATATCAGCGGTCGCAGGGAGCCTCATATTGTAAATATCAAATCCCACCCCTTGCGGCATACTGGCAAAATGGCCTGGCGCTATCGCCTAATTGTTATCCTCGATTATTTTGCGTGTCGCTTTTTTTCGCGACAAGGCGAAATTTCTATACCGCCCCTTCGTGCAGCATTGTTTGATGACAATGATGTGAATGGCAGCAGCGGTTCTGGCCGCCGTGTGGAGAGACGCGGCACGGGCAGCACAGACACAAGCAGGGGGGACGACGAGGAGCCGGCTGGTGGACCCACCCTGATACACCGCTCGGTGCTTCCTATTGTTGGCTAAATACCTGCCGATTGTTTATTCAGTTTTGGTCTTCAGGCAGGCTCTTTCTGGTTGCCTGGCCTGCTGTATTTTTAGAAAGCGCCATGATGTGTCCGCTCCCTCGCACGCTTTTTTCCCTTTGCTCTTTCCCTTCCGCCCTCCGTACTTGATTTTCAGTCTAATACTGCTGCATATGCCTCAAACTAACCGCCGCAGCACATACCTGACAGCTATAGGCTCGACACGGGAGGTCGCTCAGCGCAGACTTTTTACACGACACTTTCCGAAGCAGTTGCTGTGCGGCTGGGACCAACAGCATCAACCACCACATTTTCATCCACCACAACAACAGAAAACAGTGCACCCCTACTGCATAGCAAACAGCCGCAGCGACGACTCCTGCAGCAACTCTTGCATATCGTTCCGCAGAGACACAGCAACAAAGCATCATCTCTGATGATGGAGAGCAAAATACAAGGCAATCAAGCACATTGGCGAAGGGGCGTTCAGCTCAGTGATTCTGGCGCCTCAACATGGAAACCGGCGAAAAGGTGGCAATTAAGAAGATGAAGAAGCGGCGGTGGAAGGACACCGGCAGCGCAGGCCGAAATTGGCGCGCTGAAAAAGCTTGACCACGACAACATCATCCAGCTGCTGGAACGTGTTCCGCGAAGACTACCGGTCATTCCTGGTCTTTGAGTGCATGGACTGCGACCTCAACGAGCTGGTCAACTCGCGCAAGGGCCGGAAGCTACCCGAGACAGTCATCCTGGACATCACATACCAGGTGCTCAATGGGCTGGCGTTTATTCACGAGAACGATCTGTTCCACCGCGACATCAAGCCCGAGAACGTGCTGATTCGCCGGCGCATCACGCCTGCATCGGGTCCTGGCGGCAGTTCGACGATTGTGGTTGAGGCCAAGATTGCTGACTTTGGACTCGTGCATGACATGGACTTTTCGCGCCCGCTGACCGACTACATCAGCACACGGTGGTATCGCGCGCCCGAGGTGCTGCTGAACTGCAATAACTACTCGACGCCTATCGACGTGTGGGCCGTGGGCACCATTGTCGCTGAGCTGGCGATGCTACGGCCACTGTTCCCTGGCAGCAACCAGATTGACCAGCTGCGGCGGATCTTCGAGGTTCTCGGTACGCCCAAGATCTCTGTGCCGGCAGCGACAGACAAGGATAGCAAAAGCACAGGACCCGAGCTCATCGGCTACCGGCTCATGGTACGAGGGCGCTGTGCATGCCCGCAAGCTCGGCATTGCGTTTATTCCGAGTAACCGCAAGCCTATGCCCTCAGTGATGCCCGATGTGCCAGATTACCTGGTCCAAGCTCGTTGATTTCATCCTGGTGCTTAATCCCAACGACAGACCGACTGCTACCGACGCTCTGCAGCTGGTTTCGCATATGCTCGATCACTCGCTTGGCCAGCAGCAGCAACACCAGTACCAACAGCAGAAACAGACACAGAAGCCATCACCTTCCAAGCAATTGTCGGCTCGTGTGGTGCAAGAGCATGGTCATTCCGCCGTTTAAGAAAAAGACACTACCGGCCGTGCCCACAGAAGCCAGCAAACCTAGCACAGTGGTATCGTCTGCCTGCTAGCGCGATGCCAGACCCTGTGCGGGCGTCGCCGGCTGGCGGCTCTCGCCATGTACCAGCCAGTGCTGCGCCGTCCCATTCGCCAAACGTTCTTGACTCGCCCACAACGCGAACCGTCCCTGATTCGCCATGCGCGGACCTACCAGCGTTCAAAAGCCATCAGCCAGCAGTGAATGACGGGCGGGTCCAGTTTTACGCCGATGCAGATGTTTGCCAAGGAGCAGGAGCACCACCAGGCCATTCTCAATTCGTTGAGCCGGACTCTGGCGAAATGAGCAGCAGCCGTCATCAGCAACACCAACAGCTGTAAGCGCACCAGGCGCCAAGCCAGAGACCCCTGCGGTAGCGTCCATCGCGGCCGTCGGTCGAGGTCCAGCATTACGGCGCAGATTCCAGAAGGAGCCGATGATTGACCCGCGCGCCGACCTGTCGGATCTGGTGCGCTCAGACCAAACCGAGTCAGGACGATGACTACGCCGACGAGATCCAGCAGGTGATGCGCAAGCGGTCGGCCAAGGTCGAGAGTGCAGCGTCTGTGGCCGACTGCATTGTAACCGCTGATGCGTGTTTCGACGGCCTGTGTCGACCAGCGTGCCGGCGCCGCGGATGGTGCCTCGGTCCAACATCAACAGCCAGAGCTTTGGCGACGAGGAGATTGACGAGGCTGTCATGCGGACGAAGCAGATCAGCGCAACATTCAACCCGCGCGTGTCTCTGGCCGACGGCCCCGACCAGCGACGTGTCGATGGGCGACAGCGACGACATCGAGGACTTTCTGTTTGATGATAACGCCAGCCCGCAGTCCAACCAGCTCAGCTTCTCCCTATCGGACCGCCGCATGTCTGAGGACATTTATCACCGCGAGTCGTCCGACAGCTACTGGTCCAGCGAGCAGCAGCATCCGGCACAGGTGCCTGTGAGCAGCGCCATGGCCGGTAGACGCTCAAGCGCAGCGCGCATGCGGTCACACACCATGTCGTCGCTGAGCAGCATCGAGAGTCTCAACACCCAAGCGATGGATGTGTCGCCGCCGGCGAGCAGCCGCGAGTATTTGAGCCAGACTGCTTCATCGATGGCAAGAGGCAGCATAGATGCGGCTGAAGCAGAGGCGTCGCAGCGGTCATCGGCCTACAGCAACTGGGTGTCTAACCAGGCAATTATTGGCGAGCAGTCGTTGCTGAGCCAGCTGGCACACGAGGAGCTCAAACGCACCAGTGCTGCCCTGGGTCTGAATGAGAAGAGACAGGCGGCAGGCGAAGGTTCAGCGATTCAGCAGGCCAGCGCTTCCTCATCGGGGAAGATGGCTGATGATGACGGACAGCTGCCGCCGCCGGATGGTAATGGCAGCATCGGCAGCGTTGGCGAGCGGTCGTCCGGGATTCTGGAGTTTGTCAGCTCTTCGGTCTCGCAGACACGTGTCATACCGAGGCTGGTCAAGATCAACCAAACGTCGGCCAGACCGCCTGTGCCGCAAAGGACATCGTCCACTCCGCCTGTGCTACTGCCGCCCGCTGTGGTCACGTCTCTGCCAACCCAGCCCACGGATCCGTCGCAGGGCTCCCCCGTGGCCCTGGCCATGTCGCCCACTGGCAGCCTAGGCTCGAGCAAGTCGTCGAGTGGCAAATTCAAGATAGCGATGCCTTCTCCGCGCAAGCTCAAGCTGCGTGGATCCAAACCGGAGAATGTCCGTCAGGAACCGTCTGCTGCAGATGTGCCGGCGAAGAGTGCACCAGAGATTCAGGAGCACAAACCGACGCCGCCGCCGGTGCCGCCCAAGGAGAGGTTTATGCAGGGGCTACGGCGCAAGAGCAGCATGGGAAGCCCACTGATCAAACGTGCGCTGAGCTTGAAGAAGCGATCCAACAAGGACCTCAACAACGACGATGACGACCAAAAGCCCAATCGTCGTGGAAAGGGCGAGCGCAGGAGCAAGCGTAACAGCGTTCCGCAGCCACCTCAGCTGTTGGTGTCACCGCCCAAACTGGAGGATGTGACTCTTTCACGGTCTGTGCTGCCGATGCCTCTCAGCAACGGTCTGTCGATCGACCTGAGCTTCGATATACGCCTGGATGGCACTGGCTCTGTTGCCTCCGAGCCTAGTCCGCCCGCCGTGCCAGCCAAGGACACGCGCAGCTCGGTGTCTCTTCGCAGCGAGCAACACAAGCAGCGGAATTCGCCTAACCCCTCAGAAGACATCCCTCTCGCTGCTGAGCTTGGAGTTTCGGGCGTCTTCACGCGCACCGGCCTTACTCTGGTAGCAGCAGCAGCAGCAGCCTGGCTAGCGCTAAGCAGGAGTGGCTGTCAAACACTCACAAGCTGCGCCAGCGGATCGGCGAGCGCGGCGTCAATCGCACTAGCGGTGAGGTCAAGGACGGTCTGGTTGCCTCTGCACTCACACCCGTAGCGCGCAAGCGCGCAGTGC